TAAAAGCCAACATCAATTTAAATGTCAATGTAAGAGCTAACAATCTATATCTTTTCACCTAGATGTGGTGAGAAAATATCGAGAGATATACCTAAAAATGACGTGCATTACAAATATGTGATTGGTTGAAACAATGTTTTGCTGTTTGTCTTTTTTTGTTAAATGCATTGAAAAAGTGGTTCAAATGTCTGCGACATGGTGAAATGGTGGTGTGTCACAGACATTTAGACCACTTTTTCAATGCATTTAAAAAAAATTTGACGGAACGGTCCCATATGAGGGATAAGGTCATAAAACTAAAGTTCTGAAAATATGTTAAACCCAAAATAAATGTAATAGTCTAAAATATACATACTAAGCATTTGTCCAAATTGGGACCATACAGAACTTTACTCATGTACTCTAGTTACAATAAAAACATTTGAACGCTACTTGAGAATACAAAGTTTAAAATCAAATATTTACTGTGTGTGTCAGTCAGAAGTTCCAAATATTTACTGTGTGTGTCAGTCAGAAGTTCCTAAAGTGGTTCATTCACAAATACAAAGCAAAACGAATATATTTTTACAGTGACAGATTGTTTAAACGGACCCTGCACTATGCGAGGCGCCCTGAAGAATATTATCCCATGAAAATATGTCTGGCGGGAGGCTCATTACAGACATAATGTCAGTTTTTGAAGAATGTCTCTTTTTCTGTCTGTGAATAAAGATTTATCCACCAAAGCAAAGTAGTTTATTTTATCAAAACTTTAGACAGTGGAATATTTCTCCCAGACACTTGGCATTTGAAATGTCGCCAGTGGCTCTTATTTCACACATGTAGCATTCTCGTCATAGTGTCTCGACTTTAAATTCAGCTTATTTATGGAGAAGGTCTATTTAAAAAAAAATTTTTTTTATATATATATATACAGACGGATTCAGATTCAGGGGAATATGCAACTTTTTCATCAAATCCCCAAAGCTGTTTTATAATTTACTGGAAGAGAAACTAAGGCGAGATCACGTCTTCTCACTAGCTAACATCTGCTTTAGTTCAGTGCGTTTCTTTCCAAACTTGTCCATCTTTAATTAACCAAATAAATTATCTAGATATTTAGACCCTGCTAGAATTTTACATGCATTTCAGATCACATCAGCACTCAAACCACAAGTAATCGGTGTACTGAACTTTTATATATTTAAATGTTCTGAAAATGTTTATTAAAATCCCCAGTGATTCTGAATATAACAATACGTTTATATAATATATAGATTATATATTGAGTCAGGCGACTCTATATTGTTGCGTATAAGAAATATCTGCATAAGATCCCCTTAACGAGTTAGACCAATCTCTATGACCATTTAGTCACGATCGGCCAGAGAGAATAATTGTATTTAATGATTCTCTATGGATTTATGCAGATGTGGGGGATGTGGAGCACCATGGGCGTCATCTGCAGTCCCTTAGGAGTTATCAAAATCAAATAACAAAGGCTATGCGGTGTGGTGCAATGTACAAAATCATATACATTGGTATCGCTTTAAATTTGAATTTTACTTTGAATTAACTTCAAATTCTCACTTTAGTGTTTACCCTGTAAGAGTATCTCAGCCACAGCACCAGAAAACAAAAAATGTCAATACAAATGAAATTGCTGATAAAAAAAACTCCATCATTGGCTGTTTACTAAATGATGTTGTGGGTTCTTTTTTCCTTTGCCTCAATTTTACTTCTCCTGGGAACATATATAATTTCTCTGTCGTCTTCCAATGCAAGTCTTGCTACCTGGCTTAGCCTGAGAAGGCTTGCACGTCAAAGGTCAGATTAATGCTGCCCATGCCACACAGGAGAAAAGAGCAGGTGCTAAATTGGACATTTGAGACATAATTTTTAATTATTTTTATTATTTATATAACGCCAGCAAAATCCTGTAGTGCTGTACAATAGGTGGACTAACAGACACGTAATTGTAACCAGACAAATGGACGCACAGGAACAGAGGGGTTGAGGGCCTGCTCAGTGAGCTTACATGCTAGAGGGAGTGGGATATAGTGACACAAAGGGTATAAGTTGGGGTAATAAAATAGATTGCTAGAAAACGAATCACTGGGAACTTAGGTTATTTTTGGCAGTTGCAGGAGGCCTCAACAGGACATACTTGTGTATTAGGGAGGATAGGTAGGTTGGAGCAGCAATATGTAGGGACTTGTAAGCAAGCACCAGAATCTTCAATTGAGCCCTATATCTAACTTGAAGACAATGTAGGGACTGACAGAGGGGAGAGGCGTGGGAGGTGCCGGCGGACAGGAAAATGAGCCTTGCTGCATCGTTCATAATAGATTGCAGCGGAGCAATCTGGGAACACGTCAGACTACTGAGAAGGGGATAGCAGTAGTCAAGACGAGAAAGAACAACAGCGTGGAGAGGCACCTTAGCCACGTCTGGTGTTAAATAGGGGCGGATGCGAGCTATGTTTTTGAGATGGAAGCAGCAGGATTTGGCAATCGACTGGACATGAGGGGTGAAGGAGAGGTCAAAGTCAAATAGAACACCTAAGCAGCGATCCTGCGAGGAAGAGGTGATGGTGGCTCCGTTGACTTATGAGACAGACAGACACAGTATTAGCAACACTTGAGGAAGGAAAGACCAGAAGTTCTGTTTTGGACAGGTTGAGTTTAAGGAAGTGAGCAGTCATCCAATTGGAAATCGCAGAGAGACAGTCAGAGACACGAGTCAAGATGGGCGGAGAGAGATCAGGGGAAGACAGGTAGATTTGCGTGTCATCTGCATAGAAATAATAATGGAAGCCAAAGGAGCTGATGAGTTTACCAAGGGAGGCAGTATAGATAGAGAACAGTAGGGAACCAAGGACAGAACCCATGGGGAATGCCAACAGAGAAGAGTTGGGGAGAAGAAGCAGAGCCAGAGAAAGAAATACTGAAAAAGCGCTGAGAGAGGCAGGAGGAGCACCAGGAGAGAGCAGTATCTCATAGACGGAGATTATGGAGAATGAGAAGAAGCTGTCGATGATCAAGTGTCAAAGATCAAGGAGAATTAGGATATAGTAATGGCCACGATATTTAGCAGCGATTAAATCGTAGGATACTTTGGTCACAGCTGTTTCAACAGAGTGACGAGCGAGGAATCCAGACTGAAGCTGGTCAAGCAGAGAGTTGGATTCGAGGAAGTCTGTCAATCTCGCACACACAACTCTCTCAAAGATCTTGGAGGCAAACGGCAATAGCGATATAGGGCGGTAGTTGGATGGGGAGTCAGGGTCAAGGTTGGGCTTTTTCAGAATTGGCGTTATGGTTGCATGCTTGAAGGATGAAGGAAATGGGCCAGAGGAAAGGGAGAGATTGTATTCACTGTCAATGCCATGCTTTGCATATATTTAAGGATAGCAAAATAAATCTATATTTGTCCTTCATATACATATAAATACACAAGATCCAAGGGCCGAGCACTCCTTTTAAATAACAAATATATATTTACCCTGGTGACAAACCTCCAGCCGCACATATACAAGAAGAGGCACACTCAAGAATTTATATTCCAAATAAAGTGCTTGCTGTTTATTCAGATGCAATGCATAATATATATATATATAAAAACAGCAAACACTTTATTTGGAATACAAATCCTTTAATGTATCTCTTTTTGGTTGATATCCATATAAAAATATATCACCTTGCACTGCAGAGAGCCCAAGGAGGAAGAATTTCCCCAGTAAGTCTCATAAGAGCAGGTATTAGGCTGTTTAAACCCCTATTATTTTTGCCTAAATTAGGTGGTTTTAAAAAGTGAATAAAATCTGTGAGCTTTGAAATTGATGTTTAGTGAATGAGTGAGTGCGGTGGATCTTGTTTGTTTTATAAATATATTTATTTGTGGTCAGGGACAATAAGCCGAGTTATAGTAGTGGTGGTGTAAGTCGGTTGTGGTGTGCTGAAACCGACGTTCAGGTAGGCCTGTAAAAAGAGGGCCCACCAAAATTGAATGGCTTGATAACAGGAGAGGTGTGTGGGCTGAACCAGGCAGTGGTGGCCCAGAGTAAGGGGAGGCCTGAGTATTTATAGACCGGGTAACCCCTCCAACAACTTCAGGCTCCACATACAGGCTCACCCTTCGTATTTGTGGTCAGGGACAATAAGCCGAGTTATAGTAGTGGTGGTGTAAGTCGGTTGTGGTGTGCCGAAACCGACGTTCAGGTAGGCCTGTAAAAAGAGGGCCCACCAAAATTGAATGGCTTGATAACAGGAGAGGTGTGTGGGCTGAACCGGGCAGTGGTGGCCCAGAGTAAGGGGAGGCCTGAGTATTTATAGACCGGGTAACCCCTCCAACAACTTCAGGCTCCACATACAGGCTCACCCTTCGTATTTGTGTTCAGGGACAATAAGCCGAGTTATAGTAGTGTTGTGTAAGCCGGTTGTGGTGTGCCAAAAATGACATTTGGGTAGGCCTGTAAAAAGAGGGCCCACCAAAATTGAATGGCTTGATAACAGGAGAGGTGTGTGGGCTGAACCGGGCAGTGGTGGCCCAGAGTAAGGGGAGGCCTGAGTATTTATAGACCGGGTAACCCCTCCAACAACTTTAGGCTCCACATACAGGCTCACCCTTCGTATTTGTGGTCAGGGACAATAAGCCGAGTTATAGTAGTGGTGGTGTAAGTCGGTTGTGGTGTGCCGAAACCGACGTTCAGGTAGGCCTGTAAAAAGAGGGCCCACCAAAATTGAATGGCTTGATAACAGGAGAGGTGTGTGGGCTGAACCGGGCAGTGGTGGCCCAGAGTAAGGGGAGGCCTGAGTATTTATAGACCGGGTAACCCCTCCAACAACTTCAGGCTCCACATACAGGCTCACCCTTCATATTTGTGTTCAGGGACAATAAGCCGAGTTATAGTAGTGTTGTGTAAGCCGGTTGTGGTGTGCCAAAAATGACATTCGGGTAGGCCTGTAAAAAGAGGGCAAACAGTTTAATAATTTAACACTTTAAAACATGTTGACATTACTTAACCAATGCTTTAAATGTCTGCCTCAATTCCTTCTCCAGTTGAGGGATGTATCTAGAGTATGCAGATGATCTTCCCTGTCCCAGCCATTGATGACATGTACTGGGATACAGTGAGAATTGTTATCGGAAGAATCTAACGAAAAATGTTACAATTATTTTCATTATTAACCCTCAGAAAATCAGACATGGGTCTTAGTTAAAACATAACTGTCTTCATTCCAGCCACCTTCATCCGATCTCCTCTGAAGGGTTTGGATATGTTCCTGCTAAGTATAGGTGTATGCTAAGAGCAGCTAGTAATGCCTAGTTTCATAGCCATGTGCCTTAAAGAAACTTGTTCATTTTTTACAAAGTACTGTCATTATGTCTGAAATAATTCTGATTTTATGAACGACAATTTGTTTCATTCATTTGACATTCTTAGCCACAGAAATTACAGAAGCACTCTGATAGCAATTCAGTTATAGCAACCCATCATGATTAAAATCAGTGTGTGTAGTTCACACGTCATTGGTGGGAATTCAAAATTAAATTTAAATCTTTAGGCAAAAAGAGCCTAATTAATAAAATTCTGGACGTCAGCTTAGTTTCCAGTTCAGCCTAAAACTTTGATTTCATCGTTATTCATACCTTAGTGAACAGGTTCTGTGAGTGGTGTTTCATTACAGAAAGCATGGTTTTAAAGAACTTTTCTCAAATATTTTGCTGCTGTAATGTATCTCCTATATCCATGTGTGTCCGTCTGTCTATTGGTTTGTCATCATAACGTATAAACCATGTTTCTATGCCGTTTATTCTGTAGGAAATTTCAGTAGAAAAAAAAAAAAGCTCTTAAAATGTGCTGATTGTTTAAAAAAACTCTGTTAACATAAGTGATATATTGTTTTTGTGATATATGGTGTAGGTTACACCAAAACAGCTGACAGTTCCACTTAGCTATCCCTGTACTTATCAATCAATATAAATTTCCTAAAATGTATCTGACCACGATGGTTACAATATACCAAATGAGGGATGCTATAAATCACACACACACCAATTATACTGCTTTTTTTTCCTTTAAGAAAAAAAAAATCAATAATCATTTATTTAAAAGATACACTGTCTTGCTTTGTTTAGTCCATTCTCCTTATATTACAGGAAATAAATGTGTCATCTATCCCGTAGCATCAATCCAATGGTACATTAGAGGCAGGGAGATACAATTGATGTAAATGCCATTTTAATCAGCAAGCATCCGGTGTGTCCGTTTTATAAAGCATAACTGCATAAATTGTCTGATTTGTCACTTTTTCAACATCCTTTCAAGTAACATTAAGATAAAAAATATTGCCAGATCAGCTGAAGGACGGCCAAGTCTTGCTTTGCAAAGTGCGCTGAGATGTTTTAATATGTCATTTACCATTGTTTTTATGAGGAATTAAGTAACATTGCATGCATTTCTATAAATACATTAATTCTCACCCAGGTGTCTCACCTGCCGCTTGCACACTTGGGCTGTAATGCAGAGCGGAGGAGAATTCTATATCGGTCGTGAGTTTGCATACTTACCTGTAATTTGCATCCAAAAATAATTAAATCCCTTTCAGAGTTAGAGCAACTTAACAGCTGAATTATGATGAATTAGCCATGAATCGGTCAATAGAGATTAATTCAGAGACAGATTTGGGGGATTTTATGCACCAAATGGATATTCTAAATATATGTGACATTCCTACTAATGATATAACCAGCCAGTGAGTAAATTACATTATATATATATATATTATTCTTTTTTTTATTAAGGGCGGGTAGTTTGCAGCTCGGTGGGCTGTAGTGGTTACATAGAATGTGACGGCAGATAAGAACCATTCGGCCCATCTAGTCTGCCCAATTTTCTAAATACTTTCATTAGTCCCTGGCCTTATCTTATAGTTAGGATAGCCTTATGCCTATCCCACGCATGCTTAAACTCCTTTACTGTGTTAACCTCTACCACTTCAGCTGGAAGGCTATTCCATGCATCCACTACCCTCTCAGTAAAGTAATACTTCCGGATATTATTTTTAAACCTTTGTTCCTCTAATTTAAGACTATGTCCTCTTGTTGTGGTAGTTTTCCTTCTTTTTAATATAGTCTCCTCCTTTACGGTGCTTACAGGGTTTATATAAAGGTCCAACCTAGGCACCTCATTGAAGTTATGGGTTTGGAGATATGCCAAATGGGATGGGATGCATGAGCCCTGGAGAAGGATCACCAGTGACGCAACTTCCATAACTGGTGTCGCCTGAGATGTGCACACCTGCCCAAAAAGAGGGCAAGTCCATGCACTGAAAGAGCATTTCAGCCTGGTGGCAATGCATGCCAGGCTGAATGACAGTCTCCAGACTGGCCCCAATCACACAAGACCATACAGCGAGTTCTGCGGAGGGGCTGTCTGTATGGGCCTACTGCTTGTAAAGTGATTTGTCTAATGATTCACAACCCAAATGTTGGTGCGAAAAAAGTGAATTAAAACTTTTAATACTTATATATTGACATTCCTTAAAGTCTCTTGGGCTGCACCTTTGGAACAAAATATAGAAACAAATCTAGTGCAGAATAAGTTACAATAAATCTTTTTTTTATTCGCTAAAAGTTTAATGTGAAGATTGGTGTTCTGTGTCTCCAAACTTCTGTTTATTGCATCCATCACACACAAAGATTGAAGTTTCGTCTCTCCAGTCCGGATATATACATTTCTGTTTATTGGATCCATCACACGCGAAGACTGGCATTCCGTGTCTCCAGTCCGGATACGTACACTTCTGTCTTTTTGATCCATCATATACAAGGAGCCTGATCCCTCCTGTGCCACTTAATCCACTTGATATTTGTGTGGGGGGACCATAATCTAAACCTGAGTGCATTTATGGTAATTTATGGATTACCTGTGCTAGATTTCTTTTCTATATTTTGTTCCAAAGGTGCAGCCCAAGAGACTTTAAGGAGTATATTAGTATTATAAATTTGAATTCACTTTTTTGCACACCAATATCCGGGTTGTGATTTAAAGGGATATTTTCTTGTATTCTGCATTGGTTGCTGCAGTTGTTTTAGCATGTTATTAGATATGTCATTTTAAACATCGATCTTTGCACTTTATGTATATGTGGAAAGTTGCACCATATTTTACAATTTTGTCAGCTTTTAACTTATTGATTGCACTTTAATGGGGCACATGTTTTTTACTTCACTCATCTAATAAAGTTATATATTCATAATCCCCCTTACCCCCCCCCCCATTTTGTTTTTTATGTCCAATGATTTTCGTAAATTACCACATAAGAAAGGAGGGACCACACAATTCCTAGAGCCCACAAGTTGCTTACTGGTAAGACAAGCAAATCCTTAGTATATGGTAAATCCAAGAAGAGGCTTCAGGTACTCACAAGGTTCAAAGACAAAGCAGATTTATTGGATTAAAAAAATGCAACAGAGCAACGTCCTTGTGAAGATTGACAACCCTATGAGTGCCTGAAGCCTCTTGGATATATCTTAAAATCAGGACGGTCACACTGAAATTGGGATTGTTGGGAGGTCTGTGGTTTCAGGAGTCTCTCGCCACCATCACACTGTTCAGTGTTACATAATTTTCTGGTCAGTTTAACACGGAGTGTGGGACATCAACTACCATTATCTGCACCACTTCCTGCTAGGAGCTGCAGCTGATGCAGAGGGTACGTTCGGATCAGCTATATTAATTAATAGCATTACAGCTAAAGCTTTCAGCCGGTTACTACTGCGCTACTCGCCCAGCAGCATAAAGGAACTGGATTGTGGGCCTCTGGGCACCCTGGTTCTGTATAAAACCAATAGAAAATCTTTAACAAGTCAGTGAGGTGGGTAGTCAGGGGATTCTAGGAACTATAACCACTTCAACAAACAAACCTATTTAACAAATCCAATCCTAGAAAATAACACTCAAAAAAACTTTGGATTTGTTTAAATGTAACTGTTTGAATACTGATTGTATCGCTAATTTACACCAAAAAGATATGGAGATTAAATATGTCTATTTCAAACAAATACACCACAGCATCTAGCTGCTTATAATGGCAGTATCTCCATGCCAGCTCATGCCCTACCCGGTCCAGATGTGTTTTTAGGGTAACGTAGTTCAACCTACAGAGGTTTTGAGTATCCTTTTATAAGGCATTCTAGTTTTGATTAGTCTAGAACCCATGGCACCCAAGCTGAGTTCAGGTGGGACACATTTAACGTCCAGGTCACCATTTAGTGACACAGTATATCAAAGACTCATTTCACTTAAATGATAAAAACATTCTATTTCTTCAATAACTTTAAGGCAAACTCTGTCAGATACATGAATATCAAAAGTGAAAAAGAAATCAAGGAGGGAATACATCACACAATACAGAATGTGACCTTTATTGTGACAGAATAAAATCAATACTTCCAAAGGGCACAAATTAAAGGGTAAAACCACTGTGGGGTTTTAAAAGACATTGGATGTCTACATGCAAAGCATCAGGATGTCCAGCATGAATTCATAGACCAGAAGTGCCTCTAGTGGCAGTCCGGTAGATGGCTACTAGAGGTGGAGTTAACCCTGCAAGGTGATTATTGCAGTTAACCAATAACGAATAATCACAGTTGCAGGGTTAAGGGAACTGGGACAGTGCACCCAGACCACTTCAATGAGCCTATAGTATCAGTGGCGTACTAAGGGGTGGGGGGCGGCGGGGGCACTAAGGGGGTGCCTGGGGCGAACTTTCACAGGGGCGGCATTTAAGGGACCGTCCATTTACGAGAATATGCACACTCGTTAGCCATCCAGCAGCAGGTCCTCTGTTCTCGCGATCCGCAAGAGCGTTGCCGCAGGTTGCCATAGCAACCCGCGGCAACAACCTCGCGGATCTCGAGAATAGCGGACCCTGCTGCTGCTGGATGGGAAGCAAGCGTGCAGAGTTCTGGCACCCTCCTCTTCACTGCCCATCTATGCTGTGCCACCAGGACCACCCGTCCAGGAGGATGGGACGGGCAGGCAAGTGTCAGGGAGGCGGGGGCAAACCCACACACTGCTCACCTTCCCAGCATTTATTCTACACAACACACACTGCATCTGCATACACACCATACACACTCCAAACACTATACACACAATGCATTCACTACGCAAACACACTTATACATATGTATCTGTATGTCTGTGTATCTGTTTGTGTGTCTGTATCTGTATGTATGCCTGTGTGTCAGTATTTGTATCTGTGTATGATCGTGTTTCTATGCAACTGCATGTGTGTACCTATGTGTCTGTTTATCTGTATGTGTGCCAGTGTGTGTATATGTCCATACATCTCAGCATTTTGTCTACACTACACACAAAAATACAACCCTGCTTCCAAATGTCAACATTACATAAAAACACACCACCATATTCAAAAACCAAACTACAGAAAAATGCACGCCTGCATTCAAATGCCAATATGTGCAAACACACCCATACATTCATTCACACATACTCCATACAACAACATGCTTACATTAAAAATATACAAACACTGACACTCATTTAAAAAATGTGTGTTTTTTTACATTTTAGTGAGGGGAGTGCCAAATAAAGGATCCGCCCCGGGTGCCAAATGCTCCAGGTACGCCCCTGTATTAGTTTTTTAGCAATTTGAACTACAGGTGGTCTTCTGTGTTATCATACGAGACCGGCTGAGCCTTGGCACAGACTTCTGTCACTCTACATTTACAATAAACCCTAGCACAGCCTTGTGTCAGAAGCCAATCAGTTTAGGTCAGGAGTAGGCAACCTTCAGGACTCCAGATGTCGTGGACTACATTACACACCATCTGGAGTGCCAAAGGTTGCCTACCACTGTTTTAGGTAATGTGTCTACATGAAGCATTTTAATCGTAATCCTGGCAGGATAACAGAAATCCCATCAAATCACTCCTGGTGTTTGATGCAAATCCACGTGTTAATTAGCATCCAGTGTGATCCCTCCCTAAACCATGAAGTGAGAAAAAAAAACACACACCGCACCCACACTAATATTGTGTTCCATTTACCTAAATGGCTTGAATTTTCAGTCCTTTTCCTATTAGTTTGGTCTTCTTGTTATGCAGTCTGAATGGGAATAATGTCCCTCTTCTATCCCAATGTCCCTCTCGTGTAGGAGCTCAGTGTTCTTGGTGTATATGAAGTTTCACACTGCGATAATACCCCAGTGACGTCTCTAAACTACATTAAATGGGTTTAGAAAAATCAGTAGGTAAGATTGAGCCGAGAAAGAGAACACACTACACATCAAACAAAGACATACAAGAAACACTTTATAGCTGAATCGAGAGTGAAATTTAACAGCTGCTTTATTTTCACCAGTTAGACGAGACTGAAGGGAGGTTTTTGGCTAATGGATACACAGTGGGTTAAACAAAGCGCTCAGGAGGTTTAAAAAAAAAAGAGGAATTTAGAACATTTAAAGGTTTATAATAAATAAAGCGTTGACTTGGGTTCTTTGTTGCAAGGAGTCTTCTCGCACGATATATTGCTGCATTACTTGCGTTTGTCTGCCAGGGCATTGGAAAGGTGATAAATAAACTTTGTCCAGGCAGAAAGACACTCTCCAGTGAAGTCCTCTTTATAGTGGGCGACCAGGGTAATTTGAATAGCCATACACATACACTAGAGGGAGAGAAGGAAAAATAAGGGACAGATAGTGGTGAAACGTTTTTGTTTTCCAGGTTATTAAATGTCCTTCAGTTTTGCTTTGTATAACTATGACCTATCATTCTGGGATTTAAAAAGGAACAATGTAGGAACCATAACCACTTCAACATATTGCCTTGAGTCCATGTTTATAGCTCTGTCATTTAATCATCAGAAGATTGGCTCCAGGGGACCAAGAATACATTCGCAAGTACTGAGTAAACAGTTTATTAGTGATGCAGGAACAGAGGTTGCAGTGGTTAATGAAAATACTCGAGAGTATTGTGTAAATATTTGATAGTTTTACAGTATACATAGATAATTGAACATGTAAACAATAACTACAGTTCCACCAGTTCAGCCAATCCACTGGCTAGAAACAACAAGCATCTCAAACCAGGAAGGAGCTCCACCAATCAAAATCGTCTCAGTCTAGTCTGAGCGAATACTGGTTTTATTTTTTTTTGTTGTTCAGACCTCAGCAGCAAAGCCACTCATCTCATTTAATGAGAGAAACTGCAGAATAGGATAATAGCTGTCGTACCTCAATTTATTCACAGCCGCATTCAGTCGTTTTGTGTACAGGGCTCCACAGCTTGGCCTTTCTCTAAAAGCTGCAGATTGGTGGAGGGATGTGCTTAGCACGCATATAGCCAGCAAATCTGGCTCCTACTGCCTGATTACCGCCAGGGGTAGGAAATGGTCAGAAATCCAGACTTTGTGGAATACATCTACCCTAATGCTTTGCCAGTATTATGGCTCTAACCGACATAGTAACAAATGAGAGGTGAAGTTAGGAAAAAAGTGCAAATAATATTGTGGTGCTACTATCACCTAGTGTGAATCACTCTAACACACAAGAATATACAAAGTGCAAATAAAAATAATAGTGAGAGCACTCAATACATGCAGTATAAAAAGTTTACCAGTACTGTCTTGGGCATGTATCTAAAATAGCAAGACATAAAAGAACCATAGGGTAATATTGTCATAAATATATGCAAAGCCCATATGTAACTGGTTAAACTCACATGTTGCTGAGTCACCAAAAGCTGACTCCAACGGGAGTAGTCGTATGGCAAAAAGAAAAAGTACCTTAATGTAATTTCTGAACAACTAAAAGATCAAGAAACATACCTTTTATTGTTAAAAAAAATCCCTTATAAAAAGATATAAAAAAGAAATTTAATGAATTTTTAAAGTCAGGGATTAGAACAAGGGATACTAAACAAAAAAACAAACAAAAATATATGATTTGCTCAATGTTAAAGTTCCAAAAATCCCTGTTTTGTATGTTTTACCTAAGGTCCATAAGGACACAGAAAATCCCTCGGGAAGACCAATCGTCTCAGGGATTGGCTCCCTTTTATCCCCTTTATCGCAGTTTTTAGATCAATTTTTACAGGATCCAGTAAAGAAATGCCCCTCTTATCTTAAGGACACTGTCGTTATTACAAATTTTAAATGATTTTAAGGATGGACTGATCATGGCTACTTGTGATGTCAGCAGCCTCTATACCACTATTGAACACAAGAGAGGTTATGAGGCTGCTAGGCATTTTTTTAAATAAGGATACAGATCTGAACCCCCAACAGATAGATTTTATTATAGAGGGTATTAAAATGATTCTTTTTTAATAATTTTTTTTTTGGTTTGAAATTTTTTTTATTTGCAGACTAAAGGAACGGCTATGGGGACCAGATTTGCCCCAAGTTATGCCAATTTGTTCATGGCCCATTGGGAGGAACTTTTCTCCAAACTGGAACTTGGGGCAAGTCTGGTCCTCTATAAACGACATATAGATTACATTTTTATAGTTTGGAGAGGAACGGAAGAGTCCCTTTTAAGTTTTTTATAAAATTTAAACTGAAATGATTGGAATAGTAACCTAACGTGAAATTTTTGGACTTGTGTCTTTATATTGAGGAGAATCAGATTAAAAGTAAAAAACTTTTTTTAAAACAGTAGATGTAAACAGTTTTATTAATTTGAAAAGCTGTCATTTTAGACCATGGTTGGCAAACATACCTAAAGGACAGTTTCTAAGAATAAAACGCAACTGTACGGAGGCTCAACAATATGAAGACCAAACACAGATTTTAATAGATCAACTTGTGGAAAAAGGTTATAACCGAGACTCGTTAAAATGTATAAGGGATGAAATTGGACAAGAGCCAAGAGAAAACACTTTAAAATACAGGACAAAAGAACAGAAAGAAGATAATATTACTATAACCGTTATTTTTAATTACAGTTCTAATAGTAGCCAACTACAGAAAAAAAAAAAAAAAGGTACATTTTAGAACAGGATCAAGATATTCAACATTATTTAGGGGCAAGACCTAAAGTCATTTTTAGAGGAGCAAAAATTCTTAAGCAGGTTTTAACTTCAAGTTTTTTAGATAAAGAGACAAATCCACAAATTTTAACAATGTTTAAAAGAATTTTTTTTTTTTTTTTTTTTTATTACTGTGGGACTTGTAAAGGTTGCACTTTAAGAAAAAATAAGAATAAAAATGCTATTAAATTTACCTCATTCCAAAATAAAAAAAATCTTATAATATTAATTCTTTTTTAACGTGTAACTCTAAAAATGTAATCTATATGATTATTTGTCCTTGTGGATTTCAGTATATTGGCAAAACATCTAGAACACTAAAAATAAGAATTAGGGAACATATTTATAACATTAACAGGAAATTTACCCTACATAGTGTATCAAAACATTTTGGGAAATCCATGGGGGTAATGCAAATGGTAGAGTGTTTGTGGGAATAGAAGCAGTTAAAGTACATTGATGGGGAAGTGAAATTGAGAGCCTCCTCAGTAAAACTGAGATGAAATGGATTTTTAATATGGAATCACTGTCCCCATATGGTCTGAATGCAGATTTTTAAATGAATTCATGCATATAATAATAATAATAATAATAATAATAATAATAATAATAATAATAATAATAATAATAATGTTTTATATTTCCTCTAAGGGTTTTTATTAAAATTATTTTAGTGTATTTATGTTTATACTTATAACTATTTTTTTTTTTATGTATAATTCCCTTTTTCTGATAATATTCCCTCTACATTTTTCCTCTTAGTAGGTTTATTTAATTATTATAATGATCGATGCTTTTGCACTTTATAAACAATAAGGACTTGGCAATAGACTGGCATCTATTCTTATATTGGACTTTCTAAAATGGTGCCCGCAACACTTCCGGTATATGGCGCCAAAGTGACGTCATGATGCAATGAAGACGTCAGATGACGAAAGTTGACGACAACAGAAGTAGGAAGGTACGGAAGTTGCGGAGATGGGCGTCAAATTTTCCTGTATAAAAACAGGAACAGCGGAGATGGACGAATAGCACCACTTGAGGAAGGCTTTATCGCCGAAATGCGTTGTGGCACATTTTATGGACAATTTTTAGGTTATTGGTTTTTATTTATATTCTTTTATTGTCAAGGTTAGGTTCCCCAACACGCTAACTATAGGACTAACAGACAACCCAAACTAGACGTATTACCGGTCCTTAAAGTGGCCGGACTTAACATGAAGAAAAGTAAGGAGAGTAACAGAATAATCAGACGAGCCGAGGTCAGGGCAGGAGATGAAGAATAAATGAGAAACAAAGCCAAGGGTCAAGGAAGCCAGAAATTACGGATAACCAGAGACAAGCCAAAGTCAGATACCAGGAAACACACAAGTATTCAGAACGCGCTCTCGGGCTACAATAGACCACGACAGGGCAAGGAAGTGATGTAGGAGGGAGGTATAAATAGGGCTAAGAGAGATCTGATAGGCTAGGGAAGAGAATAGGAGAGATTATAAAAGGGTTACCAGGATTGCTGCAAAAATGGTACTATCGCTTTAAGAAGTCAGCGGCATGCTGTCAGTCGGAGGCTGGCAGAGCCGGGATGAGCAGAGCAGACGGCGGGACTGGAGCAGCATGGGCCACGTGGAGGTATGACATTTATCTTGTATTAATAAAACAAGTATTAGTTTGATCCTGTATCCTGGACTAACTGTACAGACCACATCCAGGGAGAATTTGTCTAGACCAACACAGAACGTCTTGCTCTAAACGGTTTATCTCCGCTAAAAGCATATAGTCGGAGTCAGCAACATGTGAGTTTAACCAGTTACATACGGGCTTTGCATATACTTATGACAATATTACCCTATGGTTCTTTTATGTCTTGCTATTTTAGATACATGCCCAAGACAGTACTGGTAAACATTTTATACTGCATGTATTGAGTGCTCTCACCATTATTTTTATTTGCATATTGGAGACATAGTTCACAACATCTGGAGTGACGAAGGTTTCCAACTCATGACTAATACCAATTGTATTGTCTTGGTTCTTCTATGTTCTGATAACGACATAGCAATATACATTTAAAGGTCAACTCTAGCCCCCAAAACAACTTCATCTTATTGTTTGATAAAAGTTGGGCAGGGGCCCGTCCACACCCCTTCCGCTACAGTACAGGAATTGTTGCTTTAAGGACCCAATTGGTCTTTAAACCATCTTCAAATGGTTTAGCGCTTTAAGGCAAGGTGACACTCAGGTACTCCAGCCCCATAACATTATTGGTGGGAGTGAGGGAGGGTGAAGAGAGGAAAGGAAGAGGGATATTTGAGAAGCGCTTAATGGTCATTTTTAAATAATAATTAAAAAAAAATTAAAAAATTTGAAATAGATAATGTATTTCTCTTTTTCTTGTGCTGACCCACCAACATTGAAGATAGGATAGGAGCATTCCAAAAACAGAAGGTTAGTAGCTGAATACAGAACTCCTACAATAGCTGAAGATAGTTCTCTTACCCAGAAATGCTGGGTTTCTACATGTAGTACATTCATAGGCAGTCCATTCTGGTCACAGATGGCATCTGGAAGGTTGTCCATGTTCTTGATGGCATTTCCAAAGGCATTTATGATTTTAACACCATGGTCACGGAGATCAGGGGAGTTTTCACTCAAGTCGAATTGGCTGTAGTGCTCCCTGGCATCATCGTGGATCAGGATAAGCCTGGTGTAAGACATGAAGACCGATGGCAATTCTGATCAGTGCTTGTTTAGAAGAAGGATTTCAGAAATGCAGATACAATTTGGCATTATTTAAATTTTAACAAAAATCAAGAAGGGGGAGTAGTGGATTAACAATAAAATGACCTAGAGTTAGAATGTCTATCATTAACTCCAATAGCTTGCTGTTCAGTTCAGTAGTTAACCCCCCGGATATTTAAAAAAATAAATAAATAAAAAATAAAAAATTAAAAACACAACAAAGCTGGATAGCAGAAATTGTCTTTAAGTCTGATGACTTTTAATTTTTTTTTGGTGGGGTGGAGGTTAGCAGTTTTACTTTGATCAAAACATTGTCTTTTTAAAAGACTGTTTTTAGTGGAGTAACCCTTTAAACACTTTAACGGACCACGGTAACCCGACTGGTTACCTCCGCTAAATTCCTTCTCTCAGCCAGACTGGAACCATAAAGCATACAGAGATCCATTCCCCCAGTAACCAGACTAAACATAGTTCTGGGAGTCAACCGATTTATTTTCTACCACACATTGCCTTTATGCACAGACCCCTACATGGGGTCTCTAATACAATAACACAGGAGTTTCAATCCCAAGATCCTCTGTGCCTAAGATAATTGCGTGATAAAAACCTATAATTCAATTATCTCTCAGGTACAGAAAATCTATCCAAAATATACAGTACCCCAAAAGTTCTCCTACCAAAGCTAGAAACCTTACAAATAGTGATGTCCCGAACGGTTCGCCAACGGTTCGCCACGGACTCATCATTGAGTAAACTTTGACCCTGTACCTCACAGTCAGCAGACACATTCCAGCCAATCAGCAGCAGACCCTCCCTCCCAGACCCTCCCACCTCCTGGACATCATTCATTTTACATTCATTGTGAAGCTGCATTCTTAGTGAGCTGTCCAGGAGGTGGGAGGGTCTGCTGTCTGTGAGGTACAGGGTCAAAGTTTATTCAATGATGAGTCCGTGTGAACCGTTCAGCGAACCGTTCGGGACATCACTACTCACAAATATTATATCCCCGGATAGCACCGATCTGAGTGTATAACATACCCAAATATCACTCAGATCAGTTTGGTGAAACCGAAATGCCACTGGCGTAAAGTTTTGATCATCTGGACACGAGGCGCTAGACCAAAACAGTTCTAGGGAAATAGGTGCTCTGGCCGGTCTCTATTCAGGGGTTCCTGTGCAAACACCATGCAAGGGTTTCTTTTAGTTTCCGGGTACGAAGGCTCCCCCTGTTCGGTAGTTCCTATCTCCCGAACATTGTTCACATAGTTGGTCGGAAAGTAAAACTGGCAGCGGTCTAATCTTTACCGGGGTTCGTGCGAGTGCCTAGCCAAAAAAGGTTCCAGGCACTCAACAACCAAGTGCCACTGCCCACGTTAGAGAGATTAGATGGTCACCATTCTTTTGTTGACCACGTGCATTCGGTTATACGAAATGGAGGCCACCCAGGGGAAGCATTCATTAATTACTTCCCTTGCGGTTTCGCACTTAAGTTGCTAGTGTGAATGTTCTAATGGGGTACAGGGGTGGTCCTCGTTCGTGAGACAAATGGAAGGCGTTCGTATACAAAAACTCCCCAAAAAACACAAAGAAAAAAACACACACACACACACACACACACACACACACACACACACCACACATGAAAAAGCATACGAAATTGGCAGTAGATTCCGCCACAAACACCCAGCTAACAAGTTTTTTTGCCAGAGCAGCCTTGATGTAAAGATTTGATAAGTCCAAACACTGTTGAAAATAAAGATTTGTTATGGGCACTCAAGGTGGGGGAAGGCTGACAACTTTTGTCCAGGAGGGGTTAAGGTTAAAGTGAATTGCATATTTTGTGCAAAAATTTAAGTAATAACCACACACACAAAAGTTCATTTTTCTCCAACACAGAATCTGATTTTGTAAACATAAAATCCTCTGAAAGAGAGATACAAAGATGCATTTGCTAAAAAGAAGGGGGAGGGGAATTAGAATTAAAGAATTAGATAAAGTTAGAAACCAAGTTCATGACTGGTCAAGCATGCCTGAAACACAACAGAATAAACCCAACCAAATCCTCTTCCCACCATGAAATAAAAACCGTTAAACAGCTATAATGGGAAGGGCTTGCTTAGAGCTTTATTTAAAAACATTACAAAAAAAAAATCCACCTTTAACTTCCACTGCCGGCTGAAAAGAGCACCGCCCCCCAGGCAGTTCTTCAGAGTTCAGTTCCAAGGCAGGAACACACTCACCCAATGCTCAGTTTTAAACTACCCATTTAATTTTGAATCCAGGTGCTGGCTAGGGGACCAACCTTCAAAGTGGCAGGCTGCACCCATCACAAACAGCGCTTGCTCAATCCAAGATTACTTACCTCCATTAAACATGTCAAACCCAGAAGAACAACATCCCGCCTCTTGACATCTCTGTTATCCTTCTTCAGCTCCAAAATAACAAACCACTACCTCGGCAAGGCAATGTACAGACTGCAATACCCCATAATTCAACTTACACCTAGTTAGCTCAAGTATCCTCAAATTACCTACGGAAACCCTTCCAATGTGGGGTACCACTTCCGACCATACAAAGGACACTTGAGAGAACAAAGAAAATCCTGCTTAATACTCCATCAAATCAACCATGTGAACATAACCTTTCATCAGATCATTACCACCTGCATGAACAACTAAAGTAAGCTGGCTTTAAAACACCCACCACAAACATCGGGGAATAACTGTCCCTGTATACTACATTAACATAAACGGGCAACTTGAGAAGGGAACCCCAAATTCCTACCATAACTGCAGTCCTCCGCACACTGGCCAACCCAATATATACAAGAATGCCCCAGCAACCAAACCAGCACCAGACGAACACATGCAGTCATGGTCCATGTCACCATAATTGTGCCCAGAGCTATCTTGCTCCATCCATTACAGCACTTAAAGGTTCACTATAGTGTCAGGAAAACAAACTGTTTCCTGACACTATATCATCGGACCCCACTCTCAGGGTCCCCCTCCCTTGGTGCTGAAGGGGTTAAAACCTCTTCAGTTACTTACTTTAATCCTGCGCCAAGCTCCCTCAGCACTGGTGACCTCTCCACCCCCGCCAGCGCCCGAGTGGTGTGGAATGCGCATGTGCGGCAAGAGCCACGCGCACATTCAAACAGTCCATAGGAAAGCATTTCTCAATGCTTTCCTATAGACGTTCTGCATGCTGGATGCGATTCTCGGGAAGACAGCCACTAGAGGTTGGATTAACCCTGCAATGTAAACATAGCCGTTTCTCTGAAACTGCTCTGTTTACATCTGAAGGGTTAAAACCTGGGGGACCTGGCACCCAGAACACTTCATTGAGCTGAAGTGGTCTGGGTGACTATAGTGTACCTTTAAATAACCACCACTATCTGTGCATTCATTACATTATAATAAACTTACTACTCATACCCTCAAAGTATATAGAACCCAGTTTTGGCTTAATCCAGCTCGTTCACAGGATTTGCCTTTTTAACATGTTCCTAATTATACTACTTTACTTGGCATGGTACAGACCTGTGAAAGGCTGAAACATTGCCGTGTTCACAGGTGACCCAATAATTAGACATAAGCTTGTCTTCATGGACACCAATCAGCATAACAGGAAGAAAAAAAAAAAAAGAAAAAACCTCCACACACACGAACAAATGCTACCCATTAAACTTAAAAGGGACACTATAGTCACCAGAGCAACTACAGCTTATCATAGTTATTCGGGTGAGTATAGTCAGTCCCTGCAGGCATTTTAATGCAAACACAGTATTTTCAGAGAAAATGCAGTGCTTACATTACAGCCTAGGGATACCTCCACTGGCCACTAGAGGTGCTTTCTGGGTCAGTACTACACAGTGTGCAGACCTGACGTTTAGCTCTGAGTGGAGACAATGAACTTTCCCCATAGAGATAGATCGATTCAATGTCGCTCTCTACAAGGAGATGATGATTAGCAAGGATGGAGTGAGGCTCCACCTCCACATCCCTTCTTGGCTGAGATCATCAGAATTGACAATCTAAGCCAATCCAATCCTGAGGACGTCAACCAAGCAGGTAGAGCGGAGTCAGTGCCGGCAGAACTGCATTGGAAAGAAGGTGACTTTTTTTTTTTTTTTATTTATTTAATTAGTTTTAAGGAAGGTAAGGTGGGGCCAGGGGGGCTAAATATTTAGTTTAACAATATAGGGTGAGGAAAACATTTGTGTTCCTGACTCTATAGGGTTTCTGTAAGAGGCAAGCACAAAGGAAATTGACCACAAAAAATATATAATAATTTAGTTCATATACCTTAAAGTCCAGACTTTCTGTGTCTGTCCAGTCACAGACTTCCCAATGCAGCTCAATGAAAAGCCTGTTCTCTGGGCAATTGTTGCCTCTTGGGTTTAGCTCCACTGAGCTAAATAACCAGGAAGTATCAGCACTGGTTGTTTTATATTATAATAACTTCACACAGAAAGCATTTCAGCAAGATAAAGGTACTTTAGGGGCCCAGCGTGTCCCTTTAATCTACACAATACCTTTGTGGTCGATTCAATCTGGCTCATGCAGTACATGAATTCTACCTTCTGCTGGGCAGCACTTTGTTTTTATCTACTGGTGACCTGATGGGCCTGGGGATTTGTTTTATGGAACATTGATCCTGGATTGATTAAAATAACCAAAATAATAAAATGGTTTCTGCAGCTAATAATGTAGTGATTAATTACACTTTAATAAAAACAGAAGCCTGGGCTTCTCGTGCATTCATTTTTATTTCTGTAACACTCTATTCACATGGTTACTGCCCTGCAAAGGGGTCAGTACAGTCTCCTTAATATTATTAAAATGCAAACTACATAGTATGTTAAACCGTCCAATTCGGATGGAGGATACAGTTACCATGATGAAACTAAGGCGAGTGTTACCTGTACATAGCCGCTGCACCCAGAGCAGTCACTTCAGGGGTGATCTTTACCCAAAATGTAGCCAGAGCTCCCTTCTCACTATCAGACAGGGCTAAGGGTGGAGTGGACATAGTAAAATACTGGCTTCTCAAACCATGAAAGGTTTCTCAATGAACTATGTGCTAATTTACACACATGCTGGTGCCCCAATCATTCCTGAAGTCTGATTGATCTTTGTTTAAACAGAGATACCCCTGATAAATGTTAGGTGGGGCTTACAAGCACCTGGCTTAAAGCTGCTTTAGGGTTATTTACTAATGTGTGAATTGTCAGAAATTCTAAGAAAATTTCTAATTTCATGCCAAAAATTGGAAAAATAAAATAAAAATAAAGCAATATTATTAATACGTTTTACTAGTTTGTCTTAAAATGTGAAATTTGCTTTGAATTCCTGATAATTCACTTGTTGGGGCTCATTCACTAAACTGTGAACTGTAGCAAATTGAACAAAGTTTAGGCCAACTGGTGGGAGAATGCTTTCATTCTGTTGTCTAAATGTTTTTATTCATTTCAGTATATTTGGCAGAAGAACCGATTAAGTGCTTGTTTGTTTTCACTATAACTTGAAATCCTATAAACAATAGCAAATTAAATAATGTAAATAGGGATAAACCAACATAAACAATAATGACCAAGCTAAGCAATACTGACTGTTGGGGAAGGAGTGGTGTTTAACTGAATCAGAAATAAACTACATTCTCCAAAATCGTATCATATTGGGGGATCGTCACCAACTATAAAAGTGCTTGCGGCGCACTCCACATCCAATTGCACACATCAGGCATAAAGCGAAGGCTCAGCTCAGCGTAAGAAAACACTTTTTATTAAATATGAAAATAAAAACAGTTTGTCATGTTTATCTGATCTTTACGCAGAGACACAATTCAGAAGTAGCAGAAGCTTGTATTGAATCAGTGCTTTCCTACGGGGTTTTAGCTGACGCTGAATGTCTTAATAGAAAGTATGAGGATGGCCAGCATCATTTAGCCGACCAAAAGTCTCCTAGGGACATGGAAACACCCCTAGTGGCTGTCTGGTAGAGGTGGAGTTAACCCTGCAAGGTTTCTCAATAACTGCAATAAATACAATTGCAGTGTTAAGGGGACGGGAACACTGTACCCAATGTAATTAAGTGGTCTGGATGCCTATAGTGTCCTTTTAAGCATTGGCATTTCTCTGTGGAGGGTCTAACACAGTCCTTGATAGGGTGTGCCTATAGCTCACATGTCTCTGAATGCAGGTTTTATAAATCTCATTGATCCATTTTCAATTTACTTTAATCCTCAATCATTTTCACTTAACCTTGCAGGCCTATTCATTCTTTAAATTCTCAATCTTATCAGTTTCCAAGACTATCAAATCAATTAAAAAATATGTGAGATGTAGATATCGAATATATTAAAGGGATTTTCTAGAATGCATTAATCAATGCTCTCCTCTGGGGATTCCGGTGATGCTGGAAGTCCTCACGCACAGTGTGAGGATGTCAAGCATCATTTAGATCAGTGGTGCCCAACCCAGTCCTCATGGTCTACCAACAGTGCAGGAATTATATATTTCCCTTTTTTATCCAACTGGAGATACTGACAAAACCTAGACTGTTGGTAGTTCATGAGGACTGGGTTGGGGACCACTGATTTAAATGACCAAAAGTTGTCTAAGCACCCGAAGGTTCCTCTAGTGGCTGTCTGGTAGACAGCCATTAGAGGTGGAGTTAACCCTGAGAGGTTTTTATTTTTAATTTTATTTTAGTGTCTTAGAAACTGCAATAATTACCACTGTAAGGTGAAGGGACATGGGACATTGAACCCAGGCCACTTCAATGAGCTGAAGTGGCCTGGGTGCCTATAGTGTCCATTTAGTCAATGTGCAGTCAACGAAAGGTTCTGCCCTGTAGTATCTAGTAGCAATTAACTAATCAAGGCAGCTTACTGGAGCATTCTCTGTCATTATGTATCTTATTAAAGGGACACCCCACTGCCCAAATAAACAATAAATAAAAAAATAATTTTAGTTTAGTAAAGTTTAGTAGATATAGTCGAAATGAAAACATGCATTAATTATGCACTTTCTCATTGTGGGTACATCTAAAAACAGCTTGCAAAAGTTTCAGATCTCTTATCTGCAGCCTTTGCAAGCCCTCATCTTCTAACACTGCCCAGACTTTCTGTGACTGCCCAATCACAGTCTTCCCAATGCAGCTCAATGAGAAGTCTTTGCAAGGAAGGTGCTCTAGGCAATTGCTGCCTCTTGAGTTTATCTCCACTGAGCTAAACAACCAGGAAGTAAACGGACCGACTGTCTGACAGCCAGGGAGATGTAACAAGGTTCATTTATAAAAATGACAATTTTTTTTATTGAAATCTGCCATTTTTGTAAAATTAAAAAATAAAACACACTCTTCATATATAAAACTTTCCAGTAAGCTAAAGTGCTTTATTTTTTTAAAAAAAATATGTAATCTTTTTCCAAAGACAAATCAGCACACAATATAAATACATGTTTTGTTTTACAACATTAACCCATTGCTCCGTTAAGATCAAAAAATAACCAGCAGTTCATCTTAAAGTGCCCCATGCTCAACATTCGGCATAACACTCTATACATTATAAGTATACAGAATTATACCTTTTAAATATATAATAAAAAGAAACAAACAGATGTAAATTAAACACATACATATACAAGGCCACATATAATCCTACACGTGAAGTTATATATATATATACAGACTATAATTCCTATTTCTTTCCTTTCTTCAAATTCATTCTGGGAGAGAGAGACAGACCCAGGAGAGAGAGCACAAGCAGTCAAACAGACCCCCCTTAACCCCACAAGAAAAATTACCGCGAGATTGATTGGTACAAGGAGAGCCATGAGCTTTCCTAATCCTATGAAGTTTCTATCCGCTTTAACCAAGAGTTCCATTTCTCATAAGATAGTATTGTTATACCTTTAATTGGTTTAAAGCTGCTCTTTCACTAAGAGCCAAGTAGGAGTATTAAGCCCATTCCAATTCTTCGCTATGGAAATTTTTGCAGCCAACAGTAAGTGTAATACTAGAGGGGTGTCAAAACCAAACAACAGTTTTACCTTAATTTGTAGTAAGAAAAATATCTGGGGTAAAACAACCCATCTTAGTAGTCAGAATTAGCAGCTTATTTTTAATCATATTCCAAAAATTGTGAATCGGTGGACAATTCCACCACATGTGTATGTAATCACCTTTCTGATCCCCAGATCTCCAGCAAATATTAATGCTACCTGGAAAAGTTTTTGACAACCTGGATGGGACTAAATACCAGCTGTTCGAAAGTTTATATTGATATTCCAACAAATTGAGACAGTGGATATTCTTATAAGTTTGAATCAAAGGCTTTCTCCAATCATCACTATTAATTGTAATATTTAAGTTTAAGGCCCATTTCTCAAGAATAGGTTTAATAAGTGGTTCCGGGTCCTGGAACCCAACTCCATACAACCAGCCAACATCCTCTTTAAGGATATTTTTTCCATCGGTTGCCCCAGAACCTTCACCCTTTTCGGGCTGGATATTTAATATTTAAACCTTTTAATTCTCAGATAATTAAAAAACGAATTATAGCCTAAGTTATATTCCATGTTCAAAGTATGGAAATATTTAATATTATTATTTTCTGTCATCAGGTTTCCTATATTATAGATAACCCTCTCTTTCCAAGTTTTAAGGCTATATCCTCTATATTAGCCTCGATATAATTAAGAGAAAGACGTGGAATTAGCCTATTCAGAATTTTTGGGTTTTTCTTACATTTTTTCAATTTTTTTCAGTATATCTTGCAAGATTTTGCTTTCAATTTTTAAATAGGGGGAACCCCTCTGGTCTCCTTTAACTTGCCAAAATAATATACCTAAATCATTATTGTCTATTAATCAGGGCGATGTAACATGTTTAATTTATAAAAATGACAATTTTTTTTAATTGAAATCTGCACTTTTTGTAAAATGAAAAAATAAAACCCACTCTTCATATATAAAGCTTTTCAGTAAGCTAAAGTGGTTTAAGTGTCCAGAGTGTCCCTTTAACATCTATTGACATTCTACCTCACTGCTGCTGCCCATCATGTACCCAGAAATATGGTAAATTAAGGGGAATCTAACAACCACACATTTACTTGTCATTGACTGTTACATGAAAATAACTGTCCCACTGTGGGGCAAGGCTTATAAAGCCTTGCCCCACCCTGCAATTCGGTTTAGAGCACTTTGGTGGGTTTAAGCCATCCAATCAGAGTGCTCTGACAGGTAAATGAAGAGACTGACAGGTACATTTACCTGTCACAGCACTCTAATTGGTTGGCCAAATAACTTTCCCATGCTGTGCAAAATGACACAGAGCACTCTGATTGGTGGATTTCAAACCAACCAATCAGAGTGCTGTGACAGGTAAATGTAGTGACTTACCTGTCAGTTTCTTCATTTACCGGTCAGAGCACTCTGATTGGATGGCTTAAACCCACCAGTCAGAGAGCTCTGAGCCTAATTGCAGGGTGGGGCAAGCGGTGGGTGGGGGACGGGGAGAGGACATTATGTCCCTCCCCCAATTTTTATTTAGAGCCCCACCCACCGCTCACGGGTGGGGGCCAGGGGGAGGACATTAGGTCCCCCCCTTATTCTAATTGAGGGCCCCCACCCACCGCTCAGGGGTAGGGTCAGGGGGGAGGACAATAGGTTCCCCCCTTATTCGAATTTAGGGCCCCCACCCACCGCTCATGGATGGGGGCCTGGTGGGGGGGCGGGGGGAGGTCAATAGGTGCCCTCCCCTTATTTTACTTTAGGGCCCCCACCCGCCGTTCAGGGGTGGGGGCTCAGGAGAGGGGAACCTTTTTTTTTTCTTTCTTTTTTATAACAGTTTAATAGGCTGCTCACTGTTTAATAGACATGCCCCTACTCGCGATATAGCGAGTAGGAGTATAATTTACTAATACTAAGTAACCTTTACTTAGTATTAGTAAATTTGGCTGAAAGACCAATTCAGGTCTTTCAGCCTTTTAGTAGATAGCTCCCTAATAACGTGGGAATTAGGGAGTTA